AGCAACAGGCCAATTGTAGCACAGCGGTTTAATTAGACTGATTGTAGCATGCTGCACAGCACTGAACACACACTGTGGTAACAGGTGAGGACAGTTAACAAAGTTGTCGTATTATTACGAGAGAGAAAGGAAAACATTTCCCAATTGGCTCCCCGCTTTGACATGACGGTCATCTGACAGAACCAGGAAGTTGCTATTAGATTCTGGAGAACCTTGTAGCATGACACGCTAGTTTTCATCCGAGGAAACACAAAGGTCTGTAATTTTGTCCCCACAGAAACTGTGTGATATGAAGTAAAGTCTATGAAGAAGTTGAAGATAAACACGACGGTGCTGTCGACTATTTGAACTAATAACATTCCTGAGTGCACAGAGGTTGTCTGGGTTCGCCGCTTCATAAGAACTCCCCTCTAATGTTTACCTCTGGAGGTTCTATATTGATTTTTAAGATAGACCCTGTGTAATAAACTCGATCGAGGGGTTTTGCCTGTGGTCTCAGGCACATATAAGTTTACTGTTCCCATTCTGCTCCACAGATGACGGATCAATGGTTATGAGCGTTTGGGGAAAGAAAGGGAAATGAGTTCCGTGGGAAGTAGGACAGGAGTTGTCCTAATGGGCCAAACACATGTCCAAAAGCTAAATGTAGTTTGGACTGACACTTAAGTGACGTTAACGCTTGAGGTCTTATTGATAAATTATGTGATATTTTTGTCCAATTTTTAACTTTATAATTCAAATGCGACTGCAGTGTAGAAGTCCACGGCCCACAGGTTACATGAGTTTGCAGTAGTTGTGGCTCGCTGTGTCTATGAAAGTAGATTTGGTGGCTCGCTGTGTCTATGAAAGTAGATATCAGCGTGTGGATAGGAACAAGTTGTTCTGCACAATTTGTCAATTAATTTGACAAATCAGGGAACCTCCATGAACTGAAATTATTTAAAAAAAAATCTGACTCCCATCTGGGCTGGGAACATAGTTCAAACATTTTTCAAAGAGTTGGACTTCTCTGGACATTGGGAATGTGATGTCACTGAATAAATCTATAAATACTCTCACAGAATGGTACATAAACTGATTTCCGACCGTACATTTTAACACCATCTCAGCCATAACATTTATAGGTCAATTGGATAATTTATGTGCAGATTTTGCCACATTAGCACCTCTTCTTCCAAACTGACAGTGATATCAGAGAGTGGTGTTAAATATCTTCAACACTCATGCCAAACAAGATGACATTCAACCTGATAATGCTACTCCTCTAAATATGGTTTCCAATCTGTCTGCCTGTCCTACGTGACAGGCGCCGCTACTGCCTAGTTAACCACCAACAAAACTGACAGCTGAGAGACCGGCATTAGAAGAGGTAAGACATCCATAATGGAACTGTAATAGCTCTGACAGTGCAGCCTTAGTGCTTCTTGGAGGGACTGGACGTGTGGATGGGAACCGCAGGGCAGAAACGAAAATGTTATGTCGGAGCAGCTGACGTGACCCCGTGAAGGGAACAGAAATGTTGACAGATTTAGTGATTAGTGATCTGGTTGAATTCTGTGTATGGAAATACATGTAAAATACTGGGATTTCTCTGCTGTTTTGCAAAAGTTTCAAACTGTGGATCAGTTTTTCATTGATGACTCTATGGTCTAAATCATTGTTACCCAAAGACTGGGTCGCGACCCTCAGGTGGGTCGCAAGAGTTTGTTTGTAGTTTTTTTCATCTTGCATCATTCCAAGAGTTTACAAATAATGTCTATTGACTTGGGTCGCGAAGGTTTGTGACCTAAAATAAAATATGGGTCCCCAGAAAACAAGTTTGGGAAACACTGGTCTAAACCACAAGTTGTTCTCCATCTTTTTCTTTAGAACAAGCACAGAGAATTTGTTCTTTGTAGAAATTTGGTAGATGTCTCATATTTTTCCTGTATTAGAACTAAAATCAAATTCTTTTTGAATATTCTTTCAAAGATAAAAAAGCTCTATGATTTCATAATTCTATATTTGATCAAAAGATTGTTCAAAAATTTGATTAATGTTCTGATCTCAAAATGGACTGATTCCAATAAAAAGCTCCAGTGTTTATGCCCTTATGACCATTACCATTACACAGTATACAGTATATACACGGCGTATATTTGATAAC